ATATTGTCCTCAAAAAGAAAACATAAAAAATAGAGAGCAAATACAGCACATAATATTGCCAACTATAATTACTACAGAACTTTTCACGGTGTCTAGCAAACTAGAGGCTTTCTTTGAACACCTTTTGGTATCATTAGTACAAATATAGAAATATATGTGGAAGTTTCAAGAAGACTACAAATATGAAAGGAGCCATCAGAACAAATTTCATTTTAGGCTAATAAGAAATAATTTATGGGGTTTTGCATAGCAATTTAGCTTCATTTTTTTTTTTCTTACTACTTTTTCTTTACTCTCCCCAGCAGAATAGCAAAATTTCCTTTCAACACCACAAAAAAAATGTTTGTGTACAGAAATTATTTTCTATTTAGGAATTATATTAGCAATTCCTTGAGAAGTTTTTTATGTTTTTAAAATCTTTTGGCCATATTCTTCCATTACTTTTACTCTATCATCAAATACTATGAGGTAATGACATAAAATACCTTAGAATAATCATGCTTTTCAGTAATGAGCTGTGCAAGTTCTGCTTTTATAGAGAACTATACCTCACCCCCAAGAGGACAAGGCTGGTTTAGGTTCCCAGAAATCTCTGTAAAACAACTTGACTTAGTAAACTTACAGATAAATAAGTAGTGGCTTGCTGTATAGTGCAATTCTCTTTACTTTTCTATGAGTATTTACATGTCAAATCAGGTCTCTAATAAGTTATCTGACAGACAAGCATGTGCACGTGTTAAAATTATGTAAATATTGATGGATAGGAGTTGAATACCTATTTCTAGTCAGAGACAGAAGTGAAAAGTGTGTATATGTACAGCTGTCTGATCATTGAATAAAAGTGGACAGCTTCCCTACTTCTGATTAGGAAATAGGGATTCAAACTATTGCGACTACTTTCTGTATGTATCCATTTAAAAGGAGGTTTTTGTATTCACAAATGGCAAAAACCTCCTTAGGTTTTAAACATCAACTCTTTGTAATGCATTGATTATTCAAATAGTTCAAATAATTCTTCCACATGTCATTTATGGAAGAAAAGAGAAAAATACTTCAGAAGTTATTCAGCACCAGAATTTTGTACTACACACTTCCTTCCTCTTGACTTTTAACTGTACAGCAATTGCTCGTGTTCTTTACTGTATGTATTTCACTTCAGATATTAAAAAATAAAATTGTGTAATTAAGTATACTGTAGTCCAGACATGATCAGGAACACATAAACTCCATCTTCCATTTTTAAAAGAGATAATAAAATTTTGACTTGTATCTTTTGGCTTCCAGAGTGAGATATCTATTATTTTTTATCAGTGAAAGCAGCAGGTTTGAAGTTTTCTGGGTAAGAAAGTGCCCAGATGAATTTTACATGAAAAGCTAAGGAAAGATGAATAAAATGTGAGAGATGTACTTGGAAATTTTGCCTTTTTAACAGTAAAAATACTCTAATTTTTTTTGTATTACAACATTACTTTTAAAAGCATTGTGCCATCTCTCTTTGAAGACAAGTTGAATGATCTTTTTATGTGTGGGATATTTAATTCGACATATGATCTTTTAGAATTGATTTACAATAATACTTACCAGCAGAACATCATGTTGCTAGTAATTAGTTTGAACTTTATGCATTTCTCCTATGTCTTACAGAAATTATTCAAGCAATATAATTTTAAACAATTTCACTTTCTGTGTAAGTAAGTGACATGGAGTGAGGTGTTGCATGTGTATGTGCATGCATGGATGGTTAAATGTATTTCTGTGTGGATATGCCTCAGCTGGGCAATCCCATAAGATGCTGCAGTGTACTTGTAAACAAGGTCATTTACATACTTTTTGAAGGCTTAATGGAGTTGATGTGCAATCCCTTTCTACTTTACAATTTTCTTCATTTCATAAGATTTTTGAGCAATCAGGTACCCTAACTCCTTACAATTGGCCTCCTGTTTTTCTATTTAAATTCCATGTTTGCCAGCTGCTTAGAAGAGCCAGACTTCCTGCATAGAAACAGTGAAATGACAAATAAAGATATGTAGAATGGTTTCCATGGAAAGTATAGATTCCAAAGCTAGCATCCGAAATCTTGTTAGCCTCCCATGAAGACCTAGTGGAGCTTTTAGAAACCAGGCCTGTATATGTTCCTGCAACTCAGAGCAAAGTCCACAAAACTAAATCTGCATTGTGATAGAGATTTGTGTAACTTCTGCTGCTACCTCAGAGAACAGGTCTAGACTTTTGATTGGCTATTTCACTATTATCCAATTCTATTGTTTAGTTATTGCAAAATCAGAGGATCAGAAAATGGCTGGTCTCAGAAGGTATCTCTGGAGGTTGACTTGTCCAACCCCCTTTTCAAGCAGGGTCACCTCAAGCCATTTGCCTAGGATCGTGTCTAGACAGCAATGAATATCCTTGAATATCTCCAAGGATAGAGACTCCACAACCTCTTGGCTACCTTGCTAGTCCTGAGTCACCTCATACTGGAGAAGTGTTTCCTGATATTCAGATGGAACCTCCTGTGATTCAATGTGTGCTCATTGCATCTTGTTCTGTCACCACAAACCACTGAAAAGAGCCTGACTTCAATCTCTTTGTGCCCCTCCATTAGGTTTTTGTACACATTAGTGGGATCACCTCTTACCTTTCCCTTCTCCAGACTGACCTATCCCAACTCTATCAGCCTCTCCTTATATGTCCCTTAAAACAATTCATGACCCTCTGTTGGATTGTCTCTAGCAGCTCCATATTACTTCTTATTTTGCCTCTGTTTTTTTTTTTTTCCTCTACTTATAGGTGATCCATCTTATTTTTCACAGAAAAGTTTTCCAGTCTTGGGTGTTTTCCTCACAGGAACATGATTTTGATCTATTGGAAAATCTGGCCAGTCAGTGTTTATATAACATTAATGTTTTGACCCAGCCAGACTGAGAATAACAATTTGATTGAATTACATACAGAGGAGCTTCTAAAATCTAATCCATTTAATGGGACACTATTTGAAAAGCAAATATTTGCTAGTTAAATATGCTCATACATGGGTGAATTTTAAGCATGCGTGATAATACCTTATTTACAGATTTTGTTTTTATTACAGTAGTATTGGTATAATAGCAATATTTAATGAAGGGTTATCACCTCAGATGTCATAGATTTTATTTCCCTTTCAGTCTTGAAACTCTTACAAGTTGAGAACTTGCAAAAATTTATATTTTAAAACTGAGCAGGTCTATCATATTTCTAGAATGTTAACAGAATGTGCATTTCTGTACGTGTTGTTCCAATGTTACTGTATTGTTAAATAATAACATATTTTCAGAGCTGTTTTGTGGGTCAAATGGTCTAGATTGTACTTCAGCCTGGATTCCTGATACTAACATTGTCTTATATGAAGACTCTCATATGGGGAAAATTCTGGCAAGACATTTTTTGCTTTCTTTCTTCATATGTACTTTACTAATGTGGTGGAGTGTTCTCAGTAAATCAGAGTAATCTTTGCAAACTCAGTAAAAGGAAGAAATGCAATAGTTACATGAGATATCGGGATGGTAATTCAAACCATAAGTAAAAGTAGATTTCCTTTCAGTATCTCACTTTCAGAGCTAGATATCAGCATCCAAAGTGCATTAGCTGAAATATTTTATTACCTTTAGTGTTGTTGGTAATCATATCTATCAACTGATCTCTAAAAATATGCAACAATTAATACTAATTGCCTACTCAGCTAGATTTGCAGTCCTGTAAGTTCACGAGTATTTACTCATGATTTATGTTGTGCAACTGTAAAAGAAATTTGGGAAGAACAGCAGCCTGGTAGTAGAGGGGCAATCTAAAAAGCAGTCTTACAACTCTAGTTTTTTAAGTCAACTCATTTTGACCATTTAGATTAAAATGGCTGATCTTGCTTATATAGTAATGAACTACTTTGTTATATTATCTAGTTATGATTCTTACTGTTCCTAATTGAATAAGGCTAGAGGGAAAGAGCAGTTCTTGTGGCTTGGTTGTGAGTTTAATTTTTTTCATTTGATATATCTCCTTCTTCCAAAGCTTCTCTTCATTTTTTGTATTGATAATTCTTTCTACACTGACCCAGTTCTGAAACAAGATCAGTTTCATGTGTAAATGAGAAAAACAGTGCACAACATTAATTTTAGGTAGAAAAGCAGTGCGAATGATAAAAATTTCCCAGATAAGACCAGTCTATTGTAAGACATCACTTTTTGAGTTGCTTTAGCCTCCCATATTTCTGGTTTTGGGCAGTATCTTCAAACTGAGCCAAATTTTGTGAAATGATGATTTGTCTATGGATGGTTGTCTATTGAAACACATCCATCTAAGACCAACTCATTTCATCTCTGTATTACACCTGAATCTAAAGGCATGATACAAGCTCTCTCAGATAGTAAATATAATAATATTTATCTGATGGAAAATGGCACACATATTAGACTAATTAACTTGTTCATACAATGACTTCTAATGGTAATTCTTATAGTATTTTTTTCCAGTAAGACCAAAAGGATGCTTCTGACAAAAAAAGTGTCTCCTTTTGGTCAGTAGGGATGGCAGAGTATTCATAAACACAGAATTAAGTTTGGATTTCTCCAATTAAGTTGAGTGTTATTTGTCAAAATGCAAAATAGGCAAAAAGATTCTGAATGGATCTGTAAATATATCTTCTTTCACTACACTGATGTATTAAAATGTCATGTGGTTAGCTATGTGATGTTCTCACTTGCTAATGTATGCAGAAATATTTTTGTACCCTTCTGAAACAGAGAGACAGAAAAAAGCAGGATTTCATAACAGAAAAAAAATGACTTGGTATGATGGTATCAATAATTTCTGCATTAATAATTATTGTGTTGCCATAGTTTTGAAATAGTTCCCATTTCCAGTAAGTATATGTATAATTATATAACTAAAGCACATTATAAAATTTGAACATATTAGCATAACATCCTAGATATTGAATAAAACTAACTTTGTCTTTCTCTATTTTTAAGATCCAGATTTTAAGGACCTTGGCGTTTTGAAGCCATTGCCAGGTTGGTATGTTGTTTTTGGGGTTTGTTCTAACTTGGAGGCCTTTATACTCTGCTGTAGAAAACATTTTTGTTTGCTGTTCAGGTTTCATTTTTTCTGGTGTTTTGTTATTCAGTTTGTGAGTTTGAGATGGGAGGACCTGAAGGAATTGTGGAATCTGTACAAATTGTTAAAGAAGGAAAAGCTTCTGAAACTGAAGCAGTAGACTGTAAATGGTACATCCGAGCACCACCCCGATCCAAGGTCAGTCCTTCATCCACTTGCTGATTTCCCATTTAATTTAAGAAATTGCCTTTTCTAATATATTGTGCATTTCTTAGTACAGTCAGATCTTGTTTAATAACTTTACAGCTTGAACTGTAAACTATTTTTTCCTTCTCCTGTGGAAGGGTAATTTGTCATCTCAGCCAAAATAACCACCTTTCTTCATAAATGATTATTTGGGCAATACTAATGTGTTTTTTGTGCCATAAGTAATTTTCTTAAATTCATCTTTAATTTTGCTCATATTTTGAAAGAATCAACATATGTTTTAAAGTGGGAAGTAATCTTATAATTTTAACTTTCATTGTATTTCAAACACCTAACATAGAGACAACTAAGGGGGCACTGCTGGCTCCCTGAGGTCGTCATTGTTTCTCATCTGGGACTGTGAAAATGGACATAAAGTAAATTAATGTTCCTCCATGTGAAGCCTTTAATTCCTTTGATTTAGAGACACAGACAAAAAGAGTATTCTCATTTCTTTTCCTCCACAGTAAGCAAGCCAGGGCTTTGTAAGAAACATGAGAGGGCTGCAATGAATTCAGAAATACTTTTCTTGGATTCCCCTTGATTTTCTCTCTTATCCATAACTTATCAGTTATGATATGCATTAATTATTGCTGGCTACACTACCACTTCTCCCCTCTCTGCAACAGGAACAGCTTTATGCCTCCCACCTTCTCGCATTCACTGTGTAAAAGACACCCCACAGTATACTTTTTCTAGATGTATTTTATTGGACAGGAAAGGTTTTAGAAAGTAGGATTTATATATGCACTACTCTCTGCTGCCTTTAAACTGATAAGGGCTTTTTTTGTATAACCTCAGTGAGGAGACTGTACTGAATATGTAATTGTTTCATCATCAGAATGACACATGGATGAATGTTGAAGGGTTCTCTTCAGGAAAGATTTTCAGAAGAGAAAAAATCATTAGTATCAGCATTTTTCTGTTAGGAAAGTATAGGAAAGGAGTTGGCTCATAAAGACGACAGATAAATGATTTCCAGAATATACTTTCATCTTATAACATTTTTTTTTTTACTTTTGGATAAAATTAATATTGATAGAGGCTTTCAATTAAGTAGATGAGCTTCCCATTTTGCTGCACTAAGTAGTGATATGAAATTATTGGACTGATGAATGATTATTCCATGTGTTATAGGCAGTTTATATTCATTCAGCGCAAATTCCAGTATCGATACAAACTTCAGGAAGAACAGATGGAGGGCAGCCCTGTTGATAAGGTTTTGGGGATTCTGGTGGATAAGAGGCTGAACGTGCCCCACAAATGTACACATCCAGCCCAGAAAGTCAATTGTGTCCTGGGCTGCATCAAAAGCAACATGGCCAGCAGGGTAAGGAAGGATATTCTGCCCTTCTGCTCTGGTGAGACCCCCCCTGCAGTGCTGCACCCAGCTCTGGGGTCCTCAGCACAAAAAATACATTGACCTCTTGGCCAATGTCTCCAGAGGAGAGCCACAAAAATAGTCAGAGCAATGAAGAACCTCTCCCGTGAGGAAAAGCTAAGAGATGAGAGTTTGCTCTGTCCAGAGAAGAGAAGACTGGGAAGACCTTTTAAGACCTTATAGCAGCCTTCCAGTACTAAGGGGGAGCCTGTAAGGAAAAAGAGGACAAGTATTTTATCAGTAGTGGTAAGACAAGGTGTTTTAACCTAGAAGAGGGGAGATTTGGACTAGATAGGAGGGAGACATTTTTACAATGAAGGTTGTGAAATGCTGGATCATGTTGCTCTGAGAGTTGGTCGATGACCATCCCTGGAAACATTCAAGGCCAGGTTGGATGGGGCTCTGAGTAACTGGATTTAGTTGAAAACATCCTTACTTATGACAGGGAAGTTGGACCAGTTGATCTTTATACATCCCTACAAATTTAAACTGTTCTATGATGTATTTAGGTATTAGTAGCAGGAAAGCAGGTAAACACAGAATTATTGTTAGAATCAGCACAGTTAATTAAGCCAATAGCATTTCCATTTCCCTATAGTCTAGTTTATGGTTGATCATATAATGCAATTGTGATATTCTTACTTGGTCTGACTCTGAAGTTCTATATGATTCAAAGCCCTGCTAAAAATCACAATTTTACCTACCTGTAGTATTTATTCATACTTCAGTTCTGATGTAAAACTCCAAACTAGGTATTTATGTAACTGAAAATACATTGTGTATCAGAAGAGTACTAATACTAAACTATTTTTAGCCCTCTGAGTAGAGGGCTAAAAATTAAAGTTCATTAATTCTTCATAAACTTCCATATCTGCATTTAGTTTTGTTGCATTCTAAGAAGTGTATCCTAGCTGAAGGGCACCTGGAATGGAGAGCAACAAGAAAGTTTTAGAAAAATGAAGTAATAATGAATGTTATTTAATGTCATCTAGAAAATTGTGAGAAGGAGAGTAATACAATGCAATAACAGGCTCTTACAAGGAGGAAGGAATACTGTGATGCCCATGACTGTATGATAACTTAGGGTCTCACACTCTGGAAGAAAGTTTCAGATTAAATATGAAGGAAGAAAATTCGAACATCAGGGAGGGCTGATTGGTTCAGCTGGCACTGTTAGTGGTCTGAAAGTGCAGGTTAGATAACAACCTGTGAAAAATGAGAGAAACATTAATAATCCTACCTTTAGGCAGAGGGCTGGACTGGGTCATCTCTTGATGGATCCTGCTGTTCCCATCTTACAGAATTACCTGCTTAGAGAGATTGAGCAATATAAAAGTATATAAATCAGTATTTCCTAATGTGGAGTTGAAAGGTTTCACAGCAAGCTAGGATAAAAAAAAAAGATTTTTCAAGGCTATATCCATCTTTGGGGGGTAAGTCCAATTTAGCATTTGAACTAAGTGTGGTTTTTCAAACAGATATATTTATGTACACACAGACAAGTATATACATACATAGATGCACACATAGTTATGGTTTCATCACACTGGGAAAAGTTGAAAAATATACAGATATTAAGGAAGGAGAGACAAGTGGAAAAATTTTTAAGAACTTTGTATGAAGTAAGGTTTATGATAAGATTGTTTATGGGTCTGATTCAATTGAATTAGAATCTACTGTCCATTTTTTACAGTCAGCTTCCTTTGTCCCTATCCAACCTTGAATTAATGACATATTCAGTACAGTGACTTAATGACATCATTTTAATTTATGTCAGATTGCACCTATGAAAACAAGCTCTCCTGCTAAGAACAGTGAGAACTACGCAGACATTTTTAAACCCACATGTTCCTGTACTCTGGGCTGCACAGTTTGTTACTGGGAATTATGCCTAAAAGGCAAGAGTTTCTCAGAGAGAATTTGCGTTGGATTTTTTCATCTTTAGTTTCTTAATTAAACTGTGCCAGAATGTGAGTTGCTTGCAATTTCATTTGGCGTAAGCTCATCCAGTCTAAACTGTCTGCAGAAGCAAGATGCAAGTGCTTCCCTTGGTTTCCAATTCCAGATTCCAGCCAAGTCTGAGCTCAATATATGAGCAATGAGATCAGCCAGGAAGTGTGTACTTGAGGTCTCCAAGCCTGAGCTTCAAACTGGCAGTCTGGGTCAAATGCTTCTATCCTCAGTGCTCTGGAATGGGACGGAGAGCAGAAAATTTGTTGCACACACTTAAAATAGAGACATCATTGATTACCTTATATCACACATGCACACACGCACCCCCTGACACAGACACACACACAGAGAAAAATAAATCTGAAATGCATGCAGAACCCAAACATTCTCTAAGTGCAGAAGGCAGTCTGAACACAACTTTTATGCAGAGCTAGTCTCATACAGTGAAAGTGACTAGTTGTAAAGTCTGTGTTTCTTGTAATCATTCAAAGTCAGTTCCTGCTGAGTAAGATAGTTGTGAGTTTTGAGTGGAGTAACATTGCGATTCTGCACTTCATGTAGAATGTGACTGCAATTTGTATTCAGAGCAAGAATGGGAAATTAAGAAGAGAGCTGCTGACTGAAAGTGCTAACCAATCCAGAACAATAAAGTTCTGGAGGGATTTCCTGATCTGAAAATTCTTCAGTGTAGAACAAAGCCCAAAGAAGGAGGTGTATAAGCTCATTGCACAGTGATTTGAAAAATTTCTGGGACATCATTCGCTGCAAACAGTGGATGCACAAAGATTTTTTATTTAGAACTAGAAAATAAGAAAATGAATAGAATTGTAGTTTTCTTACCTTCTGTTAAGGGCGAAGTATTGGAAGATAATATCAACAAGTGTTTTTCTATGTTGGATGGGTCAGCATAGTTTGACAAAGCCCCCAGGAAGACAGAACCACGTTTGTGCTCGCTTTGGTGGGCAACTTTCCTAGCAAGGTACCTTTGTGCCATGCTTGTTTTTTGAGATGCTCTGTAGAAAAAATAACACAGCAGAACTTGATAGTAAGAGTAATAAAATATTTACAAATACGATATTCCTATGCTGGAAATAAAACAGTAAGCAGTGCTATTAGAAACACCATTTATTATCAGAGGGTCTGGGCACCTCAGGAAACAGCATCAAAACAGGAATTAATTTGAATGTAGTCCAGTGAAAATAATCTGCTCTGGAGGAGTAAGCAATAAGTATATTTTGGCTGAACAAATAGTGGGAGTAGCCTCTTTATTTGCACCATGAGAAATAAAACAAAGTTACAAGGTAGTTAGGCAAAATGACGTCTAATTCTCTTGCCCAACCTAAACAGGATACTGGACAAAGGTTATAGCACACAAGACTTAACACAAGACATTAAGGAAACCCAAAGCATCAATTAATGAGTGTCTAGATTTGGCACATCATGACAGCATCCTTAACCCTGAGCTGCCAGGGAGTGGTGGTATCTGTTTGAAGCAGAGCCATTGGAGCAATGGGAAGGGGATACACAGCACATGGGAGGGGGCCAGGATGAGGGAGGCCACAGTGCCAGGACATGACAAATGAGACTGGGACAGGCCTGGCCATGGTGGCTGGGTTTG